TTCACATAGAATTACAAAACATAATATTGATAGAAGTGTGTAATCTGGTCAAAGTATTTCAGCTTCTTTGATTCCCTGGAAGAATGGAGTTGTGGCAAAAAGTAGAATCGCTGAGTACTAACCATGATATGATGCTACTGCACAGTAGTAACAAGATACTGCACAGTAAGTGTCACTAGGCAACTGTGCTAGTGTTAACAGTGACAATTGCAGAACCATGGTTTCTATAGGCCACTGCATATGCACATTGGCATGAATGCAAGGAAGATATGAACTGTCGACCCCTTGATCTACTTTACCTCAGACTGGGATGGAAAAGTACCAGTGTGGGCATTAGAGTGAGTGTGACACACACAGAACAGAGGGCCGTGTGCAGCAGAAGCTGCTGGGTTTGTGTGGGCAGTGTGCAGCAGGGGTGTTTAAGGAATTTTTCACCTCAGAAGGGGCATTACTCTTATTGTAATTGTATAGTAGTGCCTCAAAGGAGTGAGGTAGATAGAGGGCCCATTAGAGGGTCATTGGTGGGTTGCTTGGCATTCAGGATCATTGTACATGTGAGGTTATAGGGGTTCAAACTCAGAAGCATAGGCTACATGTAGGAGGGACACGGGTTGGGTATATGCCTCCCCTGAGATGGCCCTCACTGGCCACGGAGTTGGGGTGCTGAGAGAAGTGCCAGCGGCCCTCCCAGTTTTGCCACCAGTGCTTCCGGGGTCAGCAATTGGCCACTGGGGGACCCCCACCCACCCCCAGTCAGCAGTCGGCTGCTAGTGCCTCCCCAGACTCAGAAGGCTCCAGTCACCCATGCTCAGAAGTTTGAGTCAAGTGGAATACTGTGTGGATTTTACTAGTTCAATTATTGTCTTAGTCGCTGCTGGGTGATAGCCATTAAGTGAGTAGCAGAGGCGTGGTTAAAGTTTGGGGAGATTTGTTTAACTATTTTATGGATGTTACTTACCTGTTTGACATTATTCAATTAAATAAAGCTTGTAATTGTATACACCCGTAGTGAATTTGTGATTTTGGTATGCTAATCAAAGTTTACAGCCAGCTAGAGTTGGGCTGCAGATTTATAGCTGGCATTTGGTACAGACCACTCTGCCACCACAGGCTGGCTAATTCAATAATTGACCTGCTCCTTTAACACCAGGACACTACTGCATGGCAATGCTAGTTACTAGGGCTGTGCGAAGCTTCAGATGCTGATTTGATTCAGTCTGATTTGGTGGCCAAATCTCCAAATCAAATCAGGGGAGCAATAAAAAGGTCTGAATCAATTCATGCACGGAAGTGGAAAGGGATCTTGGAGTCCTAGTGGACTCCAAGATGAACATGAGTCGGCAGTGTGACGAAGCCACCAGAAAAGCCAATGGCACTTTATCGTGCATCAGCAGATGCATGACGAATAGATCCAAGGAGGTGATACTTCCCCTCTATCGGGTGCTGGTCAGACCGCAGTTGGAGTACTGCGTGCAATTCTGGGCGTCGCACTTCAAGAGGGATGTGGATAACCTGGAGAGGGTCCAGAGATGGGCCGCTCGTATGGTTAAGGGCCTGCAGACCAAGCCCTACGAGGAGAGACTAGAGAACCTGGACCTTTTCAGCCTCCGCAAGAGAAGGTTGAGAGGCGACCTTGTGGCTGCCTATAAGTTCATCACGGGGGCACAGAAGGGAATTGGTGAGGTTTTATTCACCGAGGCGCCCTCGGGGGTTACAAGAAATAATGGCCACAAGCTAGCAGAGAGCAGATTTACATTGGACATTAGGAAGAACTTCTTCACAGTTAGAGGGGCCAAGTCTGGAATGGGCTCCCAAGGGAGGTGGTGCTCTCCCCTACCCTGGGGGTCTTCAAGAGGAGGTTAGATAAGCATCTAGCTGGGGTCATCTAGAGCCAGAACTCTTTCCTGCCTATGCAGGGGGTCGGACTCGATGATCTATTGAGGTCCCTTCCGACCCTAACATCTATGAATAGGGAGTTTTCTCTGAGTCGATTTGGAGAGCTTCAGAGAGCTTTGGGCAGTCCCCACCTGCTGCAGCAGGGAGCTGCAGCCAGACTCAGATCTGGTAAGTAGGGGAGGGGGAAGGAGGGGAAAGGGGACCATGGGGGACCCCCACCAGGCCCCATCCCCTGCCTGCTCACCCAGCCCCCACCATGGCTACCGTGCCTGCTGCTGTATGGGGCGTTTCTGCCATGAGCCCCCTGACCCCTGCCTGCTCCCCGAAGCCCCCCATGGCTGCCCTGTCTGCCTCAACTCTGGCCCAAAAAGCCCCAAACCCACCTGCTCCTCCAGCAGCCTTGGGCATCTGGAGGACTTGTGCAGAGCCCCCAATGCAGCTTGGGGCAGTGGGGATCACCCTCTGCCGAAGAGGAACTGATGAGCCTGGGGGCTTTTTTTTAATTTTATTTTCTTAAAGGGTTGGAGTTGGGGTGGGCAAGACAGCCATGGGGGGGCCTCCCATGCAGCATGGGGCAGTGGGGATTGCCTCCCACTGGACAGCAGCCGATGAGTCGAGACTTTTATTTTCAAAGTGCCAAGAGCTGGGGCGGGTGGGGCAGCCATTGCTGGGCCTGCAAGAGCTGGCAGTGGATGGGTCTGTGTGATTTGGCCGAATCGATTTGGGACAGTGATTCGAATCACTGTCCCCCGAATTGGCCGAATGCGAAGCGAATACCAGCCACTTCGCACAGTCCTACCAGTTACTGTGCTGTCATTTAGTACTTGGTTATGCAAGTACTAAATGGGTGCATCTACACAAGACATTACTGCCCAGTAGCTTGTTGCAGTAACAACTGTACAGTTGCAGTAACAACTGTGCAGTCCCCCGCTTGATGTAACCTTTGAGGTGGAAAGGGCACTGTAAAAGGAGAAACAATGATATTGTGGAATAGGATTTATTGTCAAACCTTCAAACATAAAGTAATGGATTTTTATTTTTCTGGCATCTTCATTCTTGAAGAAGAGGCTTCTGTTCACAAACCCTGTTGTTAGTAAAACTGTACAGGATTCCTACCACCCAGTTTGGGCCACAGATGTTGGAGTTTTAAAATGGAGACAAAAGCCTCAAAGATTCTTTTCAAAATGATTGAGTTTGATGAGGGACAGGAAAATGAACAGTTCTTCATGATAGAATACTTAATAGCATTTAGACATATTTGCAAATGTTTTCATAACAGGTGGAAACAGATTCTTTATACCGAAAATATTTTTTTCTTTTTCTGATTTATGTATACATTAGTTGCATGTAATGTTTTTAAGGGTGCAGACTGTCAGGCCCCTAGCACTTAGTTACATGCTTAACTGTGGGTGAAATTACACATCAGCATTAGCAGGTGCTAATTGTAAGGAATGTTAATTTGTGTTTAGGTTAATGGGCTAGTGATCAGTCACACATTATGGGTTCATACCCTCTGTAATGCGCACTGCTCAGACCTGTTGCTAGAGGGCTGGTGAGCAGGGGTGTGGCTGGGGCTGTAAGTCCCAGTTATCTAGGTGCAGTATAGGTCAGGGTTGAGGAGACCTTCCATGTCCCAATCTCCCCTTCTACCCTCCTCAGCTTCTAGATCTGCCCTCTTCCTCCTTATAGGCCTCTCCATCCCCAGATTGCTGCCTTGCCATCCCAATCAGCCCAGAAGCCCTGTAGTTGCCCAGCAGCTACTCAGCCTCTGCCCCCTCACCCCTACTCCCCACTCAGTGGTGGGGCTAAATGGGGTCTGGACCCAGGCATATGGGGGTGGCATGTTCTGCAGGAATCCTAGGAGCAGGCAGGGAGGGGGGACCTCCCCAGTATCTATTCTGCCACTCTCAGGCTGATTGAGGTGGTAGGGCAGTGATCTGGATGTAGAGGGGCCAATTCAGAGCAAAAGTGGGGGTTGGAAGGACAGTTATGGGGTGGGAGGGCCGCAGGTAGTGATCAGGGAAGCAGGGGAGAACTAGGGCTAGAGGCAGGCAATTTAGGCAGCAATGAGGGCAGCAGCCTGCAGCTTCCTGCCCATCCACTCCCTTTTTCCCCACCTCCACTCTTGCTCTTTTCCCTTCCGCTATTGCCGCTGCTCTCCTCTTCCCTTTTTCCAGCCCCACTTCAGCCCTTTCCCCTCAATCTCTAGTCACCTGTTGTCTGGCTATCCACAACTGTCAGTCTAGGGCCTTAGAGTCCGAGATGATGGCTAGTCTACTTGGGAACAGAGCCTCCTGGAATACTGAAGGAGCACAAATTGGTGGTTTTATTTTGGGTGAACACCCAGAAGTTAATTTAATTTGATCTGGGTAGCATAGCTGAAAGATAATCCTTGCTGGAAGTGGCGTAACTTTAAGATGTTTAGACAGCAGTTAGCACTTTTTAATAAGCCTTAATGTACAATTGTTCAATTTTTAAATTCTCTTAATATGGTCTGATTATAATGTGTAATCTCACCCCATGATTTAAAGGTTTTAAGATCCACTAAAGTCAAGAGCATAATGAAATGTTTTGCTGAATTGGGAGCCAAGTGCTGAACTTTGATGAAGGAATTAAATTAGTTTTTTTTTAACACCACTGTATGACTTTACATCCCTACTCTTTTTCTTTAGGGGTGTGCTTGTTTTCAGCTGCCAGTAGTCTTAGAAAGTCAAACTTGGAAGCTGCAAGGATGCAGTGACATTAAGATGGGAAAAAGCAGGGTTGTGGTTTGATCTTTATTTCTGTTTAAATAAAAGCACAAATGGGTCAAATAATTTTAGCAGAACTAATAATAATAAAAAAATTGAAACTATTTGTACCTGAAGATTTATTTTTAAATGTGATTCTTGTCATTTCCCAAAACAAAAATAAGGACATTTAGGCCTGAGATTGGGAAATGTTTACAGTTTTTAGTTCAAACAATGACATTGCTTTAAAAGCTGACACTAATGTATAATTGAGAGTGAATGTTTAGATTGCTCCAGTGTCAGGTTTAGAACACAATATCCCTTTAGAGAGTTTTTCTAAATGAGTAATTTGTTCATTTGATATTTCTTTAACAGACGTTATCGCAGGTAACAGTTCTCCTGAGGATTGGCTATATTATCCTAACATTGACCTCCATGGGATTGCTTATGGACAAAAGGCAATATATATTTTTTCTTTTTTTATTTCCTTGCTTCGAAAAACTGTAATAATAACAAAAATTCTGTTGCGCATCACAATCATCCCATATAAAATGTGGAAATTGCAGATATACCAAAATGTTTGTGTTAATCAAATGCAAACAGTTTGTTTGTACAGTGCAAACTAAAGACAAAATTATGACACGCTTAAAAATAACATCTGTTGGGAGAAGTCTTGGAGACTTCCTGAGAACTGTAGTACTGCTCACAAGGCATGTTTATATGAGACATTTACAGTGCAGTAGACTGATTACTTGTGCAGTAAATGTCACACATCTACACATACACTTTTATTAGGCTGGAGTAAACTAATTTACTCCACAGCAGGATGGTACTTGTAAAAATAATTACTATCCACTGCTCTGGCTGGCTGGGGCACAAGGGTGCTTCAGTATGGGGGCTGCCAAATTCCCCAATCTCAGCCCTGCACTGAAGCACCCTTGTGCCCCAGCCAGCACCTCCACAGCTGGGTGCACATGGAGAAGGCACACCCAGAGCAATAAACTCTGGAGCGATAAGCACCGGACTTTATTGCTTTGCATTAATATGCGTGTATAGACACGCCCAGAATGAGCAATATGGCCCCAGAAAATAATGGAAAAGTCTTTCCAATGGAGATATTTTTTCATTTAACATTCTGGTGAAATCCAGCTCTGTTTTAAATCCATCATTCATTTTTTGCTTGCAGAGAAATATTTTGATTTATGTACATTAAAACTTATTTTCAGGACAGGAAAAATATGCAAAATCTTACACAGTTTATAATGTAGATAAGTGTAAAGAAAGGAAAATTGAACTGTGAGGAAACAGACTCAAATTATAGATGAGGATTGTGGGAGGGGAGACAGAGGCCCCCCTCCCAGCATGTCCCAGGACCCCGCCCGATGAGCCCTGATACTTACCACAGGGGTAGGGATGAGCAGCAACTGGGGGAAGATGCCAATGCAGGCTTGGTGGTTCCACAGCTACCTGAACCTGCGAATCGGCGATCCCTGGGGGTGGAGCTTGGGAGCAGCGCAGGCTGCTCAAAAGGCAGCTGGGGAGACACCCAGCTGCTGGGAAGGAGAGACGGAGGCTGCCAGCATGAGGTGAGCAGTGGAGCCAAGTGAGGAGCAGCGGGACGCCAGCGAGCAAGGTCAGGATGCCAGCGCAGAGCCCCAGATGGTGGGTCAAGCGGAGAGGAGCAGGATGCTGGCAGGGAGTCACAGGTGGCAGAGCTGGGTAGGAGCAGCAGAGCGGGGCTCAGGGCAAGGAGCCCCAGTGTCCGACAGGGCAGCCCAGCAGGAAAAGCCCCGGGGCGGAGCTTGAGGAGCCGGAGTTGGCCAGAGAGGCACGGCAGGGAGAGGAAGGTTGTCCCCACAGTCGCAGGCAAAGATCAGGTTCTGTGGGAGCGGCCAGATACCCCTGTGGGGAAGGGTGGTGAGTGATGCTGAGACTTGGTGGGCGGCTGGGTAAAGAAAGAGGAGCAGGCAGCAACTGGCCCAGAACCCGGGGGGGAGGGGGCAACTCCCACCCATTGGTGGGAACAGGAGTGACTAGCTCCCAACCTGTGGGCCCCCTGGAAAGAGTAAGTGGAGGGATCGACATCAAGTCTCTTTCTCTCCCCAGAAAGGCAGAAGGGTCCAGGGAGCCGGAGTCCCCTGTACTCCGTCAGTAGATGACTAATGCCTTCGCAAGGAGTGAAGGACCTTTTTGAGTTATCATTACCCCAGGCTGGGGCATGTTTAGTTTGTCCACGGGTTGGCCTGAAGATTAAGGATCAGTCCCATGGTGATTGATGGCCGAACACCTTATCCCGCTCAGGGTGGGCCTTGTGGGTGAGGAGAGATCACCCTGGGGAAAGGTACAAGGAGGTTGAGCTCTCCCAGGCCATGGATGTGGTAAGGGTGGGGTAAAGGGGAGGTTTGGAGCCCCACGAAGAAAGACCCAGGGCTGCATCCCCGCTGGGACCACCGACAGGGAACTGCCTTCCCCATCTATCAACATCAAAGTGGTGGCAGGAAAGTAGGGGCAGTGCTCAGAACCATCTAGGTGGCCCTAGGGTGTGGTCTCACCCTGATGTCACTAGGAAGGAAAGCACCAGCCAAGAAGAGGCCAATGCCATACAACACCTACCAGCGATAAAGATTTTTCATAAATTACCCATATACCCCCTCCCCCCATAGCTTTCTAATAAACAATTTACTTTACCAATAGGAACCAAAGGGCCATAGTTTTATTCAGTCTCCTAGTTGAGACTCTGTTGTTTTAGAGATTAAGTTAATAGCACAAGTAAATAATTTAAAGATTAGGTACATTACACAGGTTGATCCACACATCAAGTATTACAAATTCTGAAAATTCAAAATTACAGTTCAAAAAATGAAATTCAGAGAATTAAAAGGGGACAGCAGAGCAGCTGCTCTTCACCAACTGTCCATGTGCCTTCTCTTGTGCCATAGTAACTTGAAATTAAACAGGGACAGCTTAGCTGTGTTCCCTTCAAGGGTAAAATTCCCCATCCCCCTTGAATTTGCTGTACTTTGTTAGTTTGCCCGTACTCTTAATATGTATACTCCAAATCGGGTATAGTTTCTCATGCCATTCCATACAATCATGGGACTTTAGTGTCTAGTTTTGTGTTCTTCTTTATCACTAGGGACCTACTCAAATCACGATTTAACGGATTTCATGGAAATCACAAAATTGGGTAATCTCCATGAAGTCTATAGAAAAACAAAACAATCAAACAAAAAAACTTACTAAAAATAAAATGCTGGCTCCCCTTGTGAGCCAGCAGTCCTCCCGGCCACATAGCTGCGCATGAAGAGCACTGCCAGCACTAAGGTGAGCAGGCAAGATGACTGCCACTCCTGCCCCTCATTGCTGATTGGCAGAGGGCTGCCTGTTATGTGGCCCCACCCCTCTCCACCAATCAGTGGTGAGGGGGAGGGGCTGCATGACACAGCTCTCTCAGCCAATCAGTGGTGGAAGCAGGACTGTATGATGGACAGCCCTTTCTACCAATCAGCAGCAGGGGGCAGGGCCACCAGGGCCCCTAAGCCAATCAGAAGTATGGAGAGAGGCACATTACCATAAGCCAATGAAAATAGCAGCTGACCCTACGATCTGCCTGTGAAATCAACTGGCCGCCACCTTGAGTTGAGCGGACCCCTATTATTCACTGACATTTTTAACAGGTAACACACACAAGAGGGGGGAAAATTGCATTAATTCATTTCATTATTTCTTTATTTTTGTTTCTAGACCTGAAGCAGCTAGATGGGAAACTGTCCGTTGCACAGTTTTTCTAGCTCTGCAGAAACTTGGTTATATAAAAACTTATCCACCCATGATGTTTGCTTATGAGGTAAGGCATTTGTTCAGAAGTATGGAGCATACAGTCTTGATCTTAGAATCTGTATTTTTCTCTGTATCTTTTTTTTTCAAAAGATGAACATTTAACTTTTTTTTTTCTTTTAACTTATTATCCTGTTTTGAAACTTTACCCAAAGTAAAGCTGTTAATTTTTAAACATTACAAGGCAAACAATGTGTACTGCCCTTCAAAGCAGAAATAATATATCAGTAAACATAAAGTTTAAAATGCCCTACCATTAGATTCAACATATTTCAAGATCTTGACTATTCTCAAAGACAATAGCAAACATGAATGGGAGTGTTACCAATTGTTGAAAGTGAATTTGGATTGAATGATTTTGTATCTTCACATGGCTCATTTGTGTATTGTTGATTCACCTTTTGCATTTTGGGTCTGCATTTAATATGAACTATACAGTTGCTTCTCACACGATGGTATGTTAGGATTGTGCTCATTCAGCTTTATGAATGTTCTGCTAGACTTTAGGAGAGAGTGGCTATCAAACAGTTTACTTGTGGGATCTGGCTGTATTACCAGGGTCCAAATTCCTTCCCAATCATATGACAAAAATCAAAGGTGACTGAATGAAATGCCAAGATAATATGCAGCAGGATACTTATATAAGCAATATAAAAAGAATGTGTTAAACATAATAAATGGTAGTTTTTGATGTGGGTGACTTTTTAAAAGGAATTCCTTCAGATATTTTCTTCTCTTCCCCTCAGCAAAATTAAGTTGTTCTAAGAACTAAGATATATACGTATCTTTTGGTTATACTGGCAGAAGAAAAACCTAATGCCTTAAAAGTCAGATCAGATTTTTCAGTGTGTCAACTGAAATAATTCCCTGGACTTCAAAGGAGTTACACCAGTTTACCTCAACTGGCAATTTGGTTCCCAAAGACTTTGCGAAATGGGGCCAGTTCTTTTGCCTTTTTCCTGCCATGAGGCAAAATCACTATGGAAAAAACCCCATTATTTTATGGTGTCTTTTTCTAAGACAGGAAACAATATTTATTAGGCAAAACATAAAGCTAGTGAGCAAAATGTCACTATTTAAGAATTGTTTTAAATTTTTGGTAATTGTGATACTGGCGTCATAAGCTTGATTTGTAAATCAAAGATTTTTGTTTTCTTTTAATCAGCATCTGGTGGTACTATCACAGATGTTTTAAGGATTTAATAATTACGTTTTTTGTTTGAATTTGAAAAGCATAGCTAATGGAACATTTTTCCAGTGATCACTGAGTAACCTATTATAATGATATACTTAGAGCATAGAAATATTTGTCTAATGTATGTTTTGCTGCCCTAAAGCAAAAGGGATTTTATGCCAAACACACAGTCTCCGTTGGCAAAAAAAAAAAAAAAAAGTGCTTCACTTACTCTTCTTGCAGTGATATGTAAGTGCATGTGCATTCAAGATATACATGTGAATGTAAGTAAAAAAGGAGTAGATTAAAAGAAACAAGTTATTGTTTGGGGAAATAATTCTGATTATTTCTGGAGTAACTGTTTTCTATTCCGGCATGAAGAAATAAGCAATAGATAAAATCCAGTTTTAGTCTATTAATCCTTAATTTTTTTAAGTATTGTTTCTTTCTCCTTAATTCATTTCCTTCACTGAAATACAATCCTTCAGCTTCTGACTTAGGTAGCTTTTCTCCTTTTCTCTGTCTGTTTCTCTCACTCTCTGCTTGTATTCCATTTCTTCAGTGTTGTTTCTTTTCCTTTCATTGGGCCTTCTTCTCTTATGGTTTCTCTGGCTCCTCCTTTGTCTTTCCTTATTTTTATCTGGCTGGCTACTCAGCATTGGCAATGTCACAGAAACAATTTGTTCCCATGATATGTGTATGTGGGTTGTTTTTTAAGCGAGCTTCCTCCCAAATCATTGGTCAGTGGACAGACCAAAGTTTGAAATAGTAGATGTAATAAAATATTTTTTTTACATTAGTATAATGTTTGTGGATTGTGCTATAGCTGTGGACAGGTTTTTGACGTTACCTTTCCTGATACAGAAGGTAACACCTTATCTTTGTTATCATTTTCCATGTACATATAGTTTTTGAGCTCCCTGATAAGACTATCAACAAGCATGATAATTTGTGCTATGTGTGATGGTGGGATTTATGATACATATGATTATTTAAATAAAGTTGAGTAAAATCAAGAATTCATGTTAAAAAAAAAAAATAAAAAAAAGGGAAAGGCTACCAAACAGTCTTTAGCTCATAATTGTTTCTTCTGGTTAATGATATGGATGGATTTGAACCAATGAAAAATTTAGACAACTTCCTCCAATCCTGAGGGTAGGACTAGTGATTCTGTTTGTAATAGAAACCACTCACCTACCCTTTTTATTTATGTACAGTGGTATATTGTGATGCACACAAACGTACATCTCTCTAGCATTATATCATGCTTACTTTTGCTACCTTTGCCCATGCAATTTTTCATCTGCACCTCACTCTTTTTTCCTTCTGTTCCATGCACTCACACAGCCATGCTGGTTTTATTCACAATTTGAGACAGACATTAATTTAATCATTTTTGTTTGCTGCTTTTTGTCTCAGATGCACTTACACTTTCTTATCCTCTCACTTGCCCACATATATTATATCCATTTTAAGGTATATTTGTGTCTATTGTGTACTGATTGTTTAAATAGCTGTTCACTTATCGCAAAAAGGCTATAAACAAAGTTAAAGAATAAATACATAAGGATTTGCCCTGACATAAGAATGAAATAATCAGTAAAATAACTTAAATTGTGTGTGGGGAAAAAAAAAATCAAAGAAAAAAAACAGAACTCCTTTCTGGTAAGTTTGGTTGATTCACTTTTGTCAATGTGTAAGTTGCCTTTTTTAACAATTATTTAAAGATGTAAAGACAACTGATACAGCAATATTTTGTGTGCCTAATGTTTAATTGTGTCATAGAGTTCTTAAATGTATTGTCTGCATTGGATCACTGGCAGATTTGGTTTGACTTGATAACCATCTTGAATCATAAATGAACTTTTATAAATGTGCTGTTCATACATGTTCAGTCACTCAAATAGATTTCTTATAAAGTTGTGTGCTTCTGCCAGGAATATACCAAGTTAGTAAGATTTTGGAGTGGCCAAGAGGTGGATCACAGACTAGAATGTATATCATTTCCAGATAGTTCCTCTTCACTGTTATCATTAGGACTTTATGTTTGTTGTTGATGACCCTCTTCCCAGCTCTCTGCTTCTTTTGGTCACTGTCCACTGCCTTCAGGTAGTTGAGTGTATATGGGTGAGCAAGAAGAAAACAGTCCTTGTTCGTCACATGCTGTAGGGTTACTGTGTCAATAGGCCCAAACCAGGGACATCTGCCTCAACATCTGCCTTCCGATATTAGGACCAAACCTTGCATTCTTATTTTTGAACTGAAAGGAAAGTTACAGAGGCCAAGTTTCTCTCTCTTCCTCCTGTGCTAGTGTTTTAAAATAAATATTATTAACATGAGCCAGTTGCCTGAGTTAAAGCCTGGTAGTTTTGCATTGATTCATTACATTTAAATTAAGCCATAAAGCAAGAATGTTTTCTGAGAAGTATTGTTGAACTGGAAGGTGAATGTTGTCAGAGGATGAAACATTCAAGAAAAGATCAATGCCAAAAAACCCAAAAAAACATCAGATTGGACACCTCGCAGTGGACGAAACCCTAACCTTGACCGCTACATTGACTACTTCAGGGAAAGAATGAACAATGAAATAATCAGCAACACACGCCACCACAACAACCTCTCTCTACCAGAGAAAAAGGCCATAGAATCTCTAAGATCTAACCACCAAATAGTAATAAAACCAGCAGATAAAGGAGGAGCCAATGATTGTAAATAAACCTGGAAAATTCCTTCCCAGATTTTACCACCTGAAACTGCAGCTGTTGGCTGACACTATCAAAGCCTCACAATTCCAAACTCACGTGCAAATCTCATCAAGTGCAGACATTTCTAATTGATTCCAGAAGTTTTTCTTTTGCTAAGATCAGGGGGCAGAAGAAGAATAATGAGTGGCTTTTAAGCAGAGGGGGGAGGGTGATGAGCTTGGGGAGTGGAGATTTTAAAAGCTCCAGCTTGGCTGCTCTGCTAGAAATGCAGAACAATTTTACGGTCAATTGGCCAGAGCATCTGGAATCATACATCATAGTCTTTAGTTGATGGTGGTGAAGCCTACTCACAAACTGGCTAAGTCCAAAATCAGTAATGACTCTGCTGTCACACCTAAGTGGAAACTAACTTAATCTACTGCCAGGTTTAACTGAGACTTTTTCTAAGGGACATTGTTCCCCTTAGGGCAGTTGTCAAGAATATTGAAAGCCCAATACACTGAATGCTCGCTACACAGTATGGAAGACTTTTCTGCATGGAGCTAACATAGAAAATAAAGATTACAACTTGTGTTTGTTTAATTCTATGAGTGTTGACAAGACTTTTTATCATGAGGGTTTCTTCCCATCCCTTCTACTCCCAGGTTTGTACTGAAATACATTTCACATACACCAGCCTATCTTGTTAGTGTACAGAGACTACATAAATGCTGAGGTCATAAATCATAGCACAAGGTATAGAGCATTCAATCTAACAAAAACCAAATATGGAATATACTGTTCTCTGAAATGTGGTACAGATAATCATAGTGAGGGACAGAGAAAAATATTCTACAGAGCAGAAAACTATGGTTGATATGGAAATAATTCCTTATGAGTGAATATTTGTTTTAAGTCTAGGCTCATAAGTCACTCTTCTGACATTTGTAAATTACACTAACAAGTGACATAACAGCAAGTCTTTGTATGATGAAAGGAGATGTAAATCAGGAATATGATAATGTATCATATTTAGAGGGGCTGATGTGAAATGTGGAATACAGGGCAAACAAGTCCCTTAATACAGAAATATATCATATTTTTATCCAGTTAGTTAATACACTAGTTAGAAATATAACAAATGCATACTGG